ATCCAGGATGGCACATCAATGCGAGCTGTGGCAAGAAGGTTTGCTGTGTCTGTCAGCGTAGGGTCCAGAGCATGGAGGCGCTACCAGGAGACAGGCCAGTACATCAGGAGACGTGGAGGAGGCCGTAGGAGGGCAACAACCCAGCAGCAGGACTGCTACCTCCGCCTTTGTGCAAGGAGGAGCAGGAGGAGCACTGCCAGAGCCCTGCAAAATGACCTCCAGTAGGCCACAAATGAACATGTGTCTGCTCAAACGGTCAGAAACAGACTCCATGAGGGTGGTATGAGGGCCCGACGTCCACAGGTGGGGGTTGTGCTTACAGCCCAACACCGTGCAGGACGTTTGGCATTTGCCAGAGAACACCAAGATTGGCAAATTCGCCACTGGCGCCCTGTGCTCTTCACAGATGAAAGCAGGTTCACACTGAGCACATGTGACAGACGTGACAGAGTCTGGAGACGCCGTGGAGAACGTTCTGCTGCCTGCAACATCCTCCAGCATAACCGGTTTGGTGGTGGGTCAGTCATGGTGTGGGGTGGCATTTCTTTGGGGGGCCGCACAGCCCTCCATGTGCTCGCCAGAGGTAGCCTGACTGCCATTAGGTACCGAGATGAGATCCTCAGACCCCTTGTGAGACCATATGCTGGTGCGGTTGGCCCTGGGTTCCTCCTAATGCAAGACAATGCTAGACCTCATGTGGCTGGAGTGTGTCAGCAGTTCCTGCAAGAGGAAGGCATTGATGCTATGGACTGGCCCGCCCGTTCCCCAGACCTGAATCCAATTGAGCACATCTGGGACATCATGTCTCGCTCCATCCACCAACGCCACGTTGCACCACAGACTGTCCAGGAGTTGGCGGATGCTTTAGTCCAGGGAGGAGATCCCTCAGGAGACCATCCGCCACCTCATCAGGAGCATGCCCAGGCGTTGTAGGGAGGTCATACAGGCACGTGGAGGCCACACACACTACTGAGCCTCATTTTGACTTGTTTTAAGGACATTACATCAAAGTTGGATCAGCCTGTAGTGTGGTTTTCCACTTTAATTTTGAGGGTGACTCCAAATCCAGACCTCCATGGGTTGATACATTTGATTTTCATTGATAATTTTTGTGTGATTTTGTTGTCAGCACATTCAATTATGTAAAGAAAAAAGTATTTAATAAGATTATTTCATTCATTCAGATCTAGGATGTGTTATTATGTGGTCCTCTGTAGCTCAGCTGGTAGAGCACGGCGCTTGTAACGCCAAGGTAGTGGGTTCGATCCCCGGGACCACCCATACACAAAAATGTATGCACGCATGACTGTAAGTCGCTTTGGATAAAAGCGTCTGCTAAATGGCATATTATTATTTATTATTATTTTAGTGTTCCCTTTATTTTTTTGAGCAGTGTATATATTATAGCTATTATCTAGTTGTAGGCTATCTGATTCCTGCTATAAAGTACTTTTCCCAGATGTAGGCTATCCGATTCCTGCTATCATGTGACTCTAGGTAAACCGATCCCAACATGTGGGCAAACCGATTCCCACTATTGGAGACACCAGACAGATTCAGTATTATAGGAAAATAGTTCTGCCAAATTGAACCCCAACACTTTGTGGATGAGGAGGACAAGAGGACTTTCACCATTAAGGATTGGCTGGAAAACAGACAGTCCCTCAGAGATTTTTTAATAAGGTCTCTTACCTTTTTAAGTTGTGACCAGAGGGATGTCTGGGTCCAAGCCGAACGAAACGGGTCAAAAAGTCAAGTCGCTCTCATCTGGGTCACGGCACCAAATGTTGTGGAAATTTTTTCCAAAGATTAGGCAGAGACTAATTTAATTGTATAAAAAATTGTGAATCTTAAATACATATGAGCAGCTGCAAAGTAGATCCCTCTCTGATCGCAGTCAGGGAAGGAGCTCCAAGAGTAAATGGTTACATGTCCCTTATATAGTGGGAGGTGATAATAGAATCATATTGTTACACAACAGTTATTTATACAAGCAACAGTTCCAGAACACAATTACCTTGTGTTAGGGTGCAGAGTCTATGAAATGCACAACATCACAGTCCAACACAGAACAATAGCATAACCCTTGAGAAGTGACAACAGCACAACCCCAACTCTGCCACAACAATGTGAAATCCATAGATTAGGGCATAATTTATTTATTTCAATTGACTTCCTTATATGAACTGTAACTCAGTCAAATCTTTGAAATTGTTGTATGTTGCGTTTATATTTTTGTTCAGTGTAGTTAATTCTCTCCTTTGAACATACAGTAGTTGTGCTCTTCAAATTGGGTCTATAATTCCCTTTTCATATTTTTTAGATAACCAAAAGTCATTTCACCCCTTTCTGTCATTTGAAGATGTCTAACATGTGGCTCTGCACTGTAAAGGTGATGCTTGTTTGTCCCTAAAAAGCACAGGGCCAGGTCACAGTCTGGTACCCTTTTTTTTTTTTTTACCTTTATTTAACTAGGCAAGTCAGTTAAGAACAAATTCTTATTTACAATGACGGCCTACACCGGCCAAACCCAGACGACACTGGGCCAATTGTGCGCCGCCCTATGGGACTCCCAATCACGGCCGGTTGTGATACAGCCTGGAATCGAACCAGGGGGTCTGTAGTGACGCCTCAAGCACTGAGATGCAGTGCCTTAGACCACTGCGCCACTCTTAGAGCTGTGCAGACAAGAATGAGATCGGACAGTCACAAGATTGTGTCCCAGAGGAGGGATGGGTTCCATGGCAGAACAAAGGTTCCGTTATTCTCTCTTTGTGGCATGAAAGTTGAGCACAGAACAACCACATCAACTTACTAGACACTTGGAAGCAAGCATTCAAGTGCCATTCAAGTAAGTTTGATACCCATTATAGAAAGAAATACAGAACATTTTAAATAACCAGGAATGTTGGCCAATATTGACCATGGTACTTTATTTGGACAGTGAAGCTAAAACTTTTAATTTAGCTCTATACTCCAGCATTTTGAATTTGAGATCAAATGTTTTAATGAAGCGACAGTACAGAATGTCACCTTTTATTTGAGGGTATTTTCATACATATCTCTATTACCGTTTAGAAACGAAAGCATTTTATGTATCTAGTCCCTCCATTTTGAAGGTGGCATAAGTATTTGGACAAATTCACTTATATTTGTATTAAAGTAGTGATTGCGTGCCATATTCCTAGCATGCAATGACCCCATCAAGCTTGTGACTACAAATGTGTTGGATACATTTGCAGTTTGTTATGGTTGTGTTTCAGATTATGTTGTGCCCAGTAGACATGCTAACCTCTCACCATTATCCAATAACAGGGGAGGTTAGCATTGTGGGGGGGGGGGTATGATATTTATGCCTAACTTTCTCACTCATCATTATTGTTAGGTTCCCTATAGACAAACCTAGATGTTGTCGCTCAACAGAAAAGGGAACTAATAAAGGAGACAACCAAAACAAAACGGGTTTCAAACAGGTTCTGAAAGACACCCGTGGGACGCCCACTGAAAGTTGCAAAGCAACTAGAAAAGAGTCCAAAAGACACCTACCATGGATGCCCACTAGATTTTCCTCAGAAAAGACAAAATAAAGGAAAAACCCACACCAACTTAGGATAGGGAGTAGAGGTCTTCACTGATCCACCTGTACCCGAATACCCAAGACCCAATCTGGGACCCGACCGAGTTCGGATCCAGAATTCTAAATAATTTCACAGGTGTGGGTCGGACTTCTATACTAGGCGGTGTCAGAGGAAGGCCCAAAAACAGCTTCTACCCCCAAGCCATAAGACTGCTGAACAATTAATCAAATGGCCACCTGGACTATTTGCATTGAACCCCCGCTACTCGCTGTTTATTATCTATGCATAAATCACTTTACCCCTAACTACATGTACAAATTACCTCAATTAACCTGTACCTCACATAGTGACTCGGTACCAGTACCCCCTGTATTTAGCCTTTGTTATTGTTATTTTATTGTGTTACTTTTTTAACTTTAGTTTATTTAGTAAATATTTTATTTTCAATTTGATTTGATTGTCACAGGTCTCGGGTATTTGTGATTTTTACTGACTTTTCCGGAAAGGCCCATACAGATCTGAACTCGTCTGCTGCAGTAGAGAGAGAAATTGCATAATTTATGCTACTGCTCTTGCTTCCAAGATCCCTTTCACACGTACATTCAGATAGCCATGCTTGCTTCACCCTCTTCGCTTCCTTCATTGAAAATGAATGGGCTTCCGTTGTTTCATCGCTCCCAACGTGCTATGTGGATCTCTTGTGATACTTTTCACAAGAGGGGAGCTTGGCCCGTGTAACTTGTTGTTGGCCAATCATAAGTAATCAAAGCGGTAATAGGCTACAGTCATAGAGCCTCCGTGTGTGGCAAAAGTTAAAAGATATCTCTAATCAATGGAAGAAGGAATAGGGTAGAACGATGGCGCCATGCCCATGTACTTTCGCAAAAAATATTAGCCAGGCCATTCGGTTCCGGTCTAGAGGGAAACAAACCACAGCACAAACAGTAGCTAGCTAACGATATCATCAGTCACCACTAAAGAAAAACTGCGTCTTTTCCTAATTTTTTATTTATTTATTCGTTTTCTATTTTAAAAATCCCATTTATTTAGGGGAATTGCAAAACTTTAAAATTTCAGTAAAGGGAAGGTAGCACCTCAGTGGAGCATTGCTGTGTGCCAAAATGTGAGGCAACGGCGAAGTTCAACTCCGTGTTGAGCTCCCACACTTTTCCAACATTAGAAGAAGCACGGAAGAGGTGGATAATAAATATTATCACACCAGTCTGCTGCCGTCATTTCCAAACTGAGGACTTGATCGAGCCTTCGACCATTACCGGGCGCAGAAGATTAAAGAAGGGAGCTCTGCATGTCCACTTCCAGTGGAACGGCTACTCCATCCAAGCACCACGTCCTGCAGTATGGCAGAGGAGAGAGCGACCATCCGAAACAGAGGATATTGAGGACGTTGTAGATGATGTGCCCATGGCGATTGATCATGACTACTGTTCAGCCTCCGACCCGTCGGCCCTTGGGCAAAACGAAGACCTCCGCGAGGAGATGCAGCGATCGAGGACACAGGTGGAAGAGTTGTCTGTCCGCAAGCATTTCTGTTTGGAGAGATTTGCAGCCACCGCCGACGACATACTGTTCTACACAAGGTAGGTTAATATAATACTATTACTGTTAGCTATAGGCCTACATTTTATAAAATTTTGCAATGAGCATGGCAGCTGTAGTTTCGTTAGTGACCTGACACAGGTTCCTTGGGTTTTGTGTGTGTATGTGTGTTACACTAATATTACAACTGCTGTCAGGACCTTCGGTCTCTGTGGGCTACTCTGGGGAAAAGACCAGAAGGGAACACACTCAGGCCCTACTGTAGGCTTGTTTTTCTCAGTGGTGTAAAGTACGTAAGTAAAAATATTTGAATGACTACTTAAGGAGTTTTTTGTGGTATCTGTACTACTTATATTTTTGACAGCTTTTACTTCACTATATTCCTATAAAGACAATAATTTACTTTTTACTCCATACATTTTCCCTGACACCCGAAAGTACTAGTTACACTTTGATTGATTAGCAGGAAAGGAAAATGGTCAAATTCAACCACAAGAGAACATCCCTCGTCACCCCCACTGCCTCTGATCTGGTGGACTCACTGAACACAAAGGCTTCGCTTGTAAATTATGTCTGAGTGTTGGAGTGTGCCCCTGGATATCCACAAATAAAAAAGTAAGTACAAAAGGGAAAATAAATAAACAGAATCTCTGTCTGGCTCTCTCCCTCCATCACTCTGTATGTTATGCCACAGTAAGGGTTATTCAGAGGGATGGTTCACTGGTTGCAATATTATGTTATTTCTAATCTATTTCTAAATGTATTCATTATAATATGTTCCAACTTTCGCATAGGTTTGCAACTCATGCCCACCTAATGGCCTTCTGGAAGCTCATCGAACCAGACACACACAAGATGATTAGTGTAGAAGAACAAGGAGGTCACATTCCCAAGCAATGCAAAGGTAAATACAATCTTTCTTAAACTGTTTTTGTCAAAGTGGCTGTCTTTTTAAAAGAAACACCACAGCAGCAGCATCAGTCTATATAATGTAGTGCAAATGTTAGTGCCCTACTGATCTTTAACAAACAGCAATATCACTGTCACAAGCCTGGTTCCATCTTTCATTCAAAGCCAACTGGAATAATGATATTAACTCCTGGGTTAAGGAGAGATAATGCTGTGAATGGTTCACGGAATTGTTATTGAGGCATGATTTCTCTTCCCTCTAAGGCAGTGGTATTCAAACCTTTTCAGCGGGGACCCCATTTTGTTTTGCTAGAATTTCTGGGGACCCCATTTTTTTGCCAGAATTTCTGGTGACTCTACCCCTTAAACCTTAAAATCGGTACATTTAGATTTTTACATCAACAAATAACCTTCAATTCATTACATTTTGATCTCTCTTATCAACTTATCTTTCCACAAAACGTTTGTATATTTTTGTTCCAACCCCGACTTTGAATACCACTTCTCTAAGGGCTAAACCTTTTTTGTTATAGTATTGGATGTTCATGTACATTTTGCTTATGTATGTTTTCACTTTCTTCAACAGACAGTTCTGCAGCCCATAGATTAATTATTCCTCTTCATGACACACCTCTCTGTGGGTTTGAAGCAGAGGGATTTGTTTCACAGATTTAACATCAACCAGTCCACTGTGAGTCGAATCATCATCACATGGGCCAACTTCCTCTACGCATTGCTTGGTGTCAAGTGTCTCTGGATGTCAGAGGAAGAAGTGAAGGCTCACTTACCAGTGCCTTGTAAGGTACATGACCAGCTTTCCTCTCAAAGAGGACCCAGATGCCAGCCTTAGATGTGCGTCAGACCCAGTCAATCACCCGATTGAGAGTTCATATGGAGAGATGTATCAGGAGGGTGAAGGAGAAGAACTCTTCGACACCGTCATCCCGCTCTCCATCACAGGTAGCATCAACCAGCTATACTCGGTTGCATGCTTCCTGGTCGACTACCAGAATGGACCTCTGGTCAAAGCCTGGGCAAAGGAGAAGTGAGCCCATAACCCCCTAGGCAGCCACCCAGTACCCATAGCCAGCCTGAGTACCCTTAACTGTCACTCAGGGCATCTTGATGAGCGCCAATGTCCTAGGTGCCTTTGACTTTGATGTTGGAATCAGTTAATTGTATAATTCTGTTTTATAGGATTAGCCTACATGATTCACTTTTAAAGGAGAATTGTCCTATTTCTGAAGTGAAGCTCTATTTTTGATGTAAATGGTATGTTATAGAAGGGTTTCACAGACTTTATTTGAGATTTAGCTTGTTTTTGAAATATACACTTCCTCAATGCTCGTTGTGCAGTATCAGAGCAAGCAAAAAACATGAACAAATGCTCAAAAAACACAAAAATACGTCATATTAGAAATGGACACCCTCTGAGTATAGGTGATGTAGCTCTTTAGATGTTGTACACATTAAATTGTGTCATTCCGAACTGTATCTGCAACGTTATCCATTTTGGTTGAGTCCACTGAGTCCACTGTTTCCCCCCACTAGTGATGTAGGTCTTTAAACATTAAATTGTCATTCCGAACTTTATCCGCAACTCAAGACGTTTCTTCTACCATCTGTGCTGCGCGGGCTGTGTCCGTGTACTATAGGGACACGCTCGGCCTGCACAGCCGAGCGTGTCCCTATAGTACACGGACACAGCCCGTTTCTAAAAAGACGTATTTGGGTGTTTTTTTAAAGCTTTTGTTAATGTCTTTTGCTTTCCCTGATACTGCACAATGAGGAAGTGTCACGCGGCTGGGGTAAGTTTCTCAAACAAGCCAAATCCCCCAAAACGTTTCTGGACCCTTCTATAACATGCCATTTACATCAAAAATATAGATTTTCTTCAGAAATAGGAACATTCTCCTTTAAGTCCTTTTAATCAGTTCATTATAATCCTGTTTGATAGGATAAGAAGATTCACTTTTAAATCCTTTGACTGGATTCCTTGTTTTTAAATAATCATTTTATTCTGGTGATTAGTGACAAGTAATTTCATCCAGTAGATTAATCAATAGAATGAGGTGTCTTTCTTGTCTTGATACATGCATGTTGTGTGTCTTGAGACAATGAATGTACATATTTAGGCAGGTCTTGGAGACAGTTATTAATTGTGTATTACAAACGTAAGTTATCATTAAAGACTAGCCTTAAAGGCTATTGTTTGCCTTAAACCCCTGTCTATCTCATCTTGTTGCACTACCACTTGTGTCACGCCTCTTCACCTGGCAACCAGTTTAGGAGAATTGGAACACACAATTAACCTGTAGGCTCAACAAGGTGTTCAATGATTAAACACACCAGTGTAACACGTTTTAGCAGTCAACATCAATGATGAATGAAAATAGGATGCACTCAAATTGTATATCAAAACACGTTTTAATTTTTTCTCAGTCTACATCTCTCAGGCATAGCCATTTATGAAGTCAAGCATTTAATGTAGACATCTAGTCATGTAAAAAGAAAAAAAAGAAATTGTCTTTCTTTTCCCTGATGGTGTTTGCCACCCCACTGTAGATGCGCTGGATCAGCATGTCCTTGTCAGCGAACACCACAAAGTCACACCACTCCAGCCCTGCTATTAGCATCTAGCCTTGTACCTGCTAGTATTTTTTTTATTTCACCTTTATTTAACCAGGTAAGCCAGTTGAGAACAAGTTCTCATTTACAACTGCGACCTGGCCAAGATAAAGCAAAGCAGTGCGATAAAAACAACAACACAGAGTTACATATGGGGTAAAACAAAACAAAGTCAAAAATACAACAGAAAAAATATATATACAGTGTGTGCAAATGTAGCAAGTTATGGAGGTAAGGCAATAAATAGGCTATAGTGCAAAATAATTACAATTAGTATTAACACTGGAATGATAGATGTGCAAGAGATGATATGCAAATAGAGATACTGGGGTACAATTGAGCAAAATAAATAACAACATAGGGATGAGGTAGTTGGGCGGGCTAATTTCAGATGGGCTGTGTACAGGTGCAGTGATCGGTAAGGTGCTCTGACAACTGATGCTTAAAGTTAGTGAGGGAGATAAGTGTCTCCAGCTTCAGAGATTTTTGCAATTTGTTCCAGTCATTGGCAGCAGAGAACTGGAAGGAATGGCGGCCAAAGGAGGTGTTGGCTTTGGGGATGACCAGTGAGATATACCTGCTGGAGCACATACTATGGTGACCAATGAGCTAAGATAAGGTGGGGATTTGCCTAGCAGTGATTTATAGATGGCCTGGAGCCAGTGGGTTTGGCGACGAATATGTAGTGAGGACCAGCCAACAAGAGCGTACAGGTCACAGTAGTGGGTAGTATATGGGGCTTTGGAGACAAAACGGATGGCACTGTGATAGACTACATCCAATTTGCTGAGTAGAGTGTTGGAGGCTATTTTGTAAATGACATCGCCGAAGTCAAGGATCGGTAGGATAGTCAGTTTTACGAGGGCATGTTTGGCAGCATGAGTGAAGGAGGCTTTGTTGCGAAATAGGAAACCGATTCTAGATGTAACTTTGGATTGGAGATTCTTAATGTGAGTCTGGAAGGAGAGTTTACAGTCTAACCAGACACCTAGGTATTTGTAGTTGTCCACATCCTCTAGGTCAGACCCGTCGAGAGTAGTGATTCTAGTCGGGTGGGCGGGTGCAAGCAGCGTTCGGTTGAAGAGCATGCATTTAGTTTTACTAGTGTTTAAGAGCAGTTGGAGGCTACTGAAGGAGTGTTGTATGGCATTGAAGCTCATTTGGAGGTTTGTTAACACAGTGTCCAATGAAGGGCCAGATGTATACAAAATGGTGTCGTCTGCGTAGAGGTGGATCTGAGAGTCACCAGCAGCAAGAGCGACATCATTGATATACACAGAGAAAAGAGTCGGCCCAAAAATTGAACCCTGTGGCACCCCCATAGAGACTGCCATAGGTCCAGACAACAGGCCCTCCGATTTGACACATTGAACTCTATCTGAGAAGTAGTTGGTGAACCAGGCGAGGCAGTCATTTGAGAAACCAAGGCTATTTAGTCTGCCAATAAGAATGTGGTGGTTGACAGAGTCGAAAGCCTTGGCCAGGTCAATGAAAACGGCTGCACAGTACTGTCTATTATCGATCGCAGTAGTAGGCGTGCTGTGGCTTTAGCTCCAGTTTGCCATGATGGAGACTCAGGTAGGGGCAGTCAACACAACTCTTGGAGTTTGGACACTTGATCTCCAGTAAGCCAAATGGTGGGCTTTCAATTGGGTCGTAGGTCAGCCCGTCAGGTGAAGACCCCAGCCAAGGGGCGTCAGGGTGGATTACAAACCCACATGGCGTGTAGTACACGTTATTGATGTGGCTGTACTCACAGACAGCAGCAGGCTCCATGGCCAGAGCCCTCTTCATCGCTGCCGTCTGAGGAGATCCTTTGATAATTTGATCTGCCAGGTTCTCCGCTAAGCTCTGCCCTCGGACGTGACAGCCTTCCCTGAAGTGGGAGGTGGTAAGGCGTGGCCTTCTTAGTTTATGCCAGTCCAGTGAGGTGCCTTGCTCCTTGGTAGCGCCTTCAATGGTGTTAGCCATATCCCAGGTGGTCTCCAACGATCTAACATACAGCTGCTGCCTCTCACTGCACACGAACATGCTGGTAGGATAGGGGACTTCATGCCTGGACTTTTCCAAAAGCAGAGTTGACCAATGGGACCTCGCTGTTGATCCCCATTGTGGTGATCAATGGTGCCGTTTCAATGTGAAAGTCCTTGTACACCTCAGATACACGCAGGACAGACAGGTCAGGCAGTTCCCTTGGAGGCCTTTGTAGAGTGTGCTCCTGTGCAAAACATAATTAGTAATCTCCCAGTCAAATAATTTCCTGTAGCTGTTGTAAAAATTAAGGGATTTACTTTTCAGATTTTAGCTAATTCCTTCAGCCATTGTCCTCTGTTTCAGTTTGGCTGATAACATTACCATCTTGCTTCCTGGGCCTGGCTTCACACCATATTTGATTGAAATGGGACACATAATTATTTAGATATTGATTTTATATGTGCATGATTATCTATATCCACACAGACTGACCATGGTTCTTGGCATGTGCCAACACTGTTCGCTCTCTACAGCTAAGGACTGGGGGTACCACTGGCATTTTGAGCTGTGAATAATATGCCGCCTGGTACAGCAGAGCAACTCTATGGTTGCAAATAGCTGTACCAGCTGCACACGAACAGCGTGCATATGATAACACTACAGGGCGCGAATTCAACACGATCTGTAACAATAAGGAAAGGTGTAGAATATATTTCATGCCAAGAAGATGTCACATTTCATTCAAATGTTATAGAAATAATGTAGGCAGAAAGTTGAGCAAGTTAAGATATGATGAATTAAGGAAAGGAAACAAGTTGAGACAATGATAATCAATGGACTCATAGATATGTGACATTAGCATTATCACATAGTATGGAGCAATTTTATATATTACTATTTATTGGACATGCATTCTAATTTATAGCCATACTTTAGGTTCTTGAAATACTGTCTCAACAGACTAATTTAAAGGCAGTAAAAAATAGAAGTGGTTAGCATTTGTTAAATCAGATGAGAAAAATAAGGTAGTGGAACAAAAAAATGGAACAGAAAGCCTCAAAACAGTGTCTGGGGACCCTATACTAGATTCAATAGTATGTCATCATGCACATGTTAGCAATGATACAATATGATATAAAATGTTATCTATACAATTGTAAATGTCTAGCTAACAACCAGACTAGCAACACTGAATCCCTAGAACATGAGTGAGAACTACACTAATGGCCAAATGTATGTGGACAACTGCTCGTCAAACATCTCATTATCAAATCATGGGCATTAATATAGATTTGGTTCCCCCTTTGCTGCTGTAACAGCCTCCACTCCTCTGAGAAGGCTTTTCAATAGATGTTGGAACATTTCTGCGGGATGAACAGCATGACAATGGGCCTCAGGATCTCGTCACGGTATCTCTGTGCATTCAAATTGCCATAGATGAAATGCAATTGTGTTTGTTGTCGGTAGCTTATGCCTGCCTGTACCATAACCCCACCGCCACCATGGGGCAGTCTGTTCACAACGTTGACATCAGCAAACCAGTACAGTTGAAACCAGGATTCATCCGTGAAGAGCACACTTCTCCAGCGTGCCAGTGGCCATCGAAGGTGAGCATTTGCCCACTGAAGTCGGTTACGACGCCGAACTGCAATCAGGCCAAGACCCTGGTGAGGACGACGAGCACACAGACGAGCTTCCCTGAGAAGCTTTCTGACAGTTTGTGCAGAAATTATTTGGTTGTGCAAACCCACAGTTTCATTAGTTGTCTCAGATGATCCCGCAGGTGAAGAAGCTGGATGTGGAGGTCCTTGGCTGGCGTAGTTACACGTGGTCTGTGGTTGTGAGGCCGGTTGGACGTACTGCGAAATTCTCTAAAATGACGTTGGAGGTGGCTTACTGTAGAAAAATGAACGTTCACTTCTCTGGCAACAGCTCTGGTGGACATTCCTGCAGTCAGCATGCCAATTCCACATTCCCTGAAAAACTTGCGACATCTCTGACATTGTTTGTGTGACAAAAGTGCACATTTTAGAGTGGCCTTTTATTGTCCAGTGTAATGATCATGTTGTTTACGCAGCTTCTTGATATGCCACACCTGTCAGTTGAATGGATTATCTTGGCAAAGGAGGAAAGCTCACTAACAGGGATGTAAACAAATTTGTGTACACAATTTGAGAAAAATAAGCTTTTTGTGCATAGGAACATTTCAGGGATCTTTTATTATATTATTATAACACTTTACGTTTATATTTTTGTTTAGTATAGTTTCTCTTTTCATAGGCTTGCATTTTGACAGAACATGGTGCTCACCTAAAGAAGGTGACGTTTACAAGAGGTACAGAAGGTCATCTTCTCTGAGAAACACACCTCCTGTCTGAATCAACATGCTCAATATTTCTCTCAGGGAATTAATCCTGTTTTTCTTCCTCCCCTGTCAGATTATAATGTCATTTGTGTCAATATTGAAATTATATTTGAACATAAGCTCAGCTTGTGGTATATATTGGCATATTTGATTCACTCAATTAATACGGTCTGAGAAATAACTACCTTCCTATGTCTGTGAGGCAGTAAGATTGTGGTGGTGTGTGTTGCAGAGCCAGGTCCTCTCCGACTGTGTGTGTTGTGTGTCTGTTGAAACAGGTAGCAAACCACTGGGCCCCCCTGTGGCCCTGCCGGAACTCAGCCATGCCTTTGCTGATCTGAAATAAAAATGTTAACCCTAATGGCTTCATTCTGAGTAGCTTTCAAAGCCCAGTGGAATCCATCTCAGCTGCTATGGTGGTGTCTGGTGAATAGCAGGCCAGAAGTCGGGGAAGTTTGGGCAGTACCAGGCATGGTAAAAACTGAAAACTGAAAAGATTGACTTGCTATAGAGTTTTTTGACAGAAAAGCAGTTTTGTGTAATGGTTTTCAAATAACATATTTTCAATGTAGATACAGTAATTTACAGTAGTATTCTAATTTCAGTATTTTCTTATTGTAATAATTGTTCTATCATGACAATAGTGACTTTGTTCTTTAGTCATTCTATGTCTGACAAAAAATCAACATTTTAATAGCAACACAGTCCTATGTCACACAATGGAAGGGCCTCAAGGCAAAGTGTAACTGTTTCTATCTGAGAGAGAAAGTAATGAATTGAGCAACTGGTATAGCCTCTGAGCAGTCAATATCTGTATTAGGATGACCACCTGTGACCCTGCTGTTGGAAAGTCTTAATCCTATGTGACAATGATGAGAGTAGACCTGCAGAGAATATCACTGTGAGAGCCTGCTGGCGACACAGAGGAGTCCTCCTCACCTTTATTATTCAACTGATGGAGCGCCGGCCGCACCCACTAGATACTGGCTGAGGTTTAGAGAACCTACAGTGAGGGGAAAAAAGTATTTGATCCCCTGCTGATTTTGTACGTTTGCCCACTGACAAAGAAATGATCAGTCTATAATTGTAATGGTAGGTTTATTTGAACAGTGAGAGACAGAATAACTACAAAAAAATCAAGAAAAACGCATGTCAAAAATGTTTGAGTTGCCAAAAATGTTTGAGTTGCCAAACGTCAGCCTCGAAACCTTAATGACTTGGAGAAGATCTGCAAAGAGGAGTGGAACAAAATCCCTCCTGAGATGTGTGCAAACCTGGTGGCCAACTACAAGAAACGTCTGACCTCTGATTGCCAACAAGGGTTTTGCCACCAAGTACTAAGTCATGTTTTGCAGAGGGGTCAAATACTTATTTCCCTCATTAAAATGCAAATCAATTTATAACATTATTGACATGCGTTTTTCTGGATTTTGTTGTTGTTATTCTGTCCCTCACTATTCAAATAAACCTACCATTAAAATGATAGACTGATCATGTCTTTGTCAGTGGGCAAACGCACAAAATCAGCAGGGGATGAAATACTTTTTGCCCTCACTGTATATATATATATATATATCACCAGTCAAAAGTTTGGACACACCTACTCATTCAAGGGTTTTTCTTTATTTTTACTATTTTCTACATTGTAGAATAATAGTGAAGACATCAAAACTATGAAATAACACATATGGAATCATGTAGTATCCAAAAAAGTGTTAAACAAATCAAAATATATTTTATATTTGAGATTCTTCACAGTAGCAACCCTTTGCCTTGATGACAGCTTTGACACTCTTGGAATTCTCTCAACCAGCTTCATGAGGTAGTCACCTGGAATGTATTTCAATTAACAGGTGTGCCTTCTTAAAAGTTAATTTGTGGAATTTTTTTCCTTAATGTGTTTAAGCCAATCAGTTGTGTTGTGACAAGGTAGGGGGGTGTACAGAAGATAGCCCTATTTGGTAAAAGAGCGAGTCCATATTATGGCAGGAACAGCTCAAATAAGCAAAGAGAAACAACAGTCTATCATTACTTTAAGACATGAATGTCAGTCAATACGGAAAATATCAAGAACTTTGAAAGTTTCTTCAAGTGCAATCGCAAAAACCATCAAGCGCTATGATGAAACTGGCTCTCATGAGGACCGCCACAGGAAAGCAAGACCCAGAGTTACCTCTGCTGCAGAGGATAAGTTCATTAGAGTTACCAGCCTCAGAAACTGCCCAAATAAATGCTTCACAGAGTTCAAGTAACAGACACATCTCAACATTAGCAGTTCAGTGGGAGACTGTGTGAATCAGGCCTTCATGGTCGAATTGCAGCAAGGAAACCACTACCAAATGACACCAATAAGAAGAAGAGACTTGCTTGGGCCAAGAAACACGAGCAATGAACATTAGACCGGTGGAAATTTGTCCTTTGGTCTGGAGTCCAAATTGGAGATTTTTGGTTCCAACCGTCGTGTCTTTGTGAGACGCGGTGTGGGTGAACGGATGATCACTGCATGTGTACTTCCCACCGTAAAGCATGGAGGAGGAGGTGTAATGGTGTGAGGGTGCTTTGCTGGTGACACTGTCTGTGATTTATTTAGAATTGAAGGCACACTTAACCAGCATGGCTACCACAGCATTCTGCAGCGATACACTATTCCATCTGGTTTGGGTTTAGTGGGACTATCATTTGTTTTTCAACAGGACAATGACCCAACACACCTCCAGGATGTGTAAGGGCTATTTTACCAAGAAGGAGAGTGATGGAGTGCTGCATCAGATGACATTACATTTTACATTTAGATGACCTGGCCTCCACAATCCCTCGACCTCAACCAAATTGAGATGGTTTGGGATGAGTCGGACCGCAGAGTGAAGAAAAAGCAGCCAAGAAGTGCTCAGCATACAGTTGAAGTCAGAAGTTTACATACACGTAGGTTGGAGTCATTAAAACTCGTTTTTCAACCACTCCACAAATGTCTTGTTAACAAACTATAGTTTTGGCAAGTCGGTTAGGACATCTACTTCGTGCATGACACAAGTCATTTTTCCAACAATTGTTTACAGACAGACTATTTCAC